GCTTTGCTCGTTTGCTTGTGCCTTGTCGTGTAGCAATGCTCTTGCCTGCTGTGGAGTCTGTGTGTGGATGCGTAGGTTTAGCTTGCTGCAAATGTTAATTTCAAGTACGTGCAAATGGCGTAGAGTTCAGACTCTGCTGAACTGAGTGCTATTGTAGCTTGTGTTCTGCTGCCAAATGCAACTGTTGTTCCTAGAAAGATGATGTTGAAACCTGAAGTTGATTTCTTGGTAGTAGGGCATCCTTCCCAGTCAGCATCGACATGAACGTCGAGATCCAGGATGTTGTTGGTGTTTGCTCTGAGTGTTGTTGTTGGTTCTATGGTGAATTTGTAGTGGTTGGTGCCGTGCAAGTAGCGCAGTAAATGTTTGACTCTCTTTTGTGAAACCTCTGTAGGTGCTGTGAGGTCTCGTGCTAGTTTTTTGTTAGCGTATGCGATGTCTGGTCGTGTGTATGCTAACCATTGAAGTTTGCCAACAATCCTTCTGTACCTTTTGAAGCGCTTCATCCTCTATTGTTGGTTTGTAGTGGGCGATTCCTGGAGCGGTCACCGTGTTGCAGTTGGTCATTCCAGACTCCTCGATCATGTTGTCGATGTAGGAGTCCTTTAGTCCAAGGTTGCAGTAGTTGCCGAAGTGGTCGATGTTTCTTCCCAAGAATTGTTGTGGTTTGCCAGGCTCGAGGTAGCCAATGTGCTTGAGTAGAATCTGCTTCTGGATGGCCTCGAAGGTGGAGTTTACCGCAGTCTTGTCTCCAAGTACCAGGAGATGTCCACGTAGACCATGATGTAGCAGTCGCGAGTTGCATTGGTGTAGACGTTAGGTTCTGACTTTAGTCTTACAAAGCTGAGCTTTTGTAACACTTCAGTCAGGTAGTCCTGCCACGCTTTAGGTGAACTGCGTAGTCCATACATGGCTTTCTTTAGCCGCCATATCTTGTCCTGTTGTGGGCAAAGTTCTTTAGGTGGCCAAAGGTAGACGTCACGTTGTTTACCGTCGTGGTCCTTTTCGATGGGTGCGTGTAGAAATGCTGTAGAGACGTCGCCTAGTCGCGCGATCCAATTTGGTCGTGACACGAGGAGTGTCCGGAGTGTCGTGAACATTGGTGTAGAGGCGTAGACGGAGTCTTCGTCCTCGATCTTCTCGGTGTAGCCTTTTGCGACGATTCGGCCTCGCACTCCTGGTCCTTTCTTTCTGTGGACCCATCTTGTAGGTATTGCTTCTCTGATGACGTTGTCGCCGACTGTAGACGCATCTACTTCGTCGTAGACGTCATGTAGTCTTATTTGGTTTGACTCGTGCTTCATTCCTTCTAGTAGTTGTGTTTCGTCATAACCTTCGTTGTCGAAGATTATAGGTTGGTCTTCGGAGGTGTCGTCGTTTGTGTAGGAAGTGTTGGATGTTCCGTTGAGAAGCGCCACTGCGTTGATTTTCTGTCGTAGTGGTGGTGGCTCGTTGGTTGCTTGTTCCGTTGATCTGATTGTGGTGTCTTTTGAGGTCTTCTGTGCTTTGGTTGGTTGCATTACTTCTTCCGGAGTTAAACGTCTTAGTCTTTGTCGAGGTGGCTGATTGGTGGATGTCCTGTTGGAGTAAATAGGGTAGTTCTAAGGGTTGTGTGGTGTCATATCCAGTGTCCACCTTTTCCCAGTAGTCTTGGTTGTCCTCCTGTGCTGTGAGTGGTCTGTGTATTGTCTCCGTTGGTTGTGTGGTGTCAAGGTCTGTAGAAGGTGCTGCTTTAGGTCTCCATATCTTTTGTGCCGTAGACAGGAACCTTCTTGTTGGTAACTGTGTAGAGTTGTGGAACTGATTCTCCACAAGGTCGTAGCGGTAGGTCTGGCGCGTAGTCCTTCGGGCAAACATGTGTAGATGCTCCTGAGTCGATCAGCAGGTGATGGTATGACTTGAAGTTGGAGTACATGATGTAGTGTGTGATGGTGTCCTCAGTCTTCTTTTTCCTTTGCTGTTTGTGTTGCTGCTGCTATGTCGAAGTATAGTTGTGCTGTGTCTTCTTGGAGGAATTGTTGAAAGCTCTTGCTGTGGTCGTTCCATGATGTTGTGTGTGTGTGTGTCGTTTTCTTGCCAAGTGGTGGTTTGGATTTGTGCTTGTGTAGTATTGACTTTGCTTGTTTGATGTGTCCAATGGTGAGGTGTGACTCGTTGATGCCTCCAATGTAGTTTGCTGTGTCTTCGTAGCTGTCGTTCCAATCCCAGCTGTTGTCATAGCCGTAGTCGTTCCAATTCTCCTCCATGTAGTTTACCTCGTGTTGTCCTTCTTCTCCTTCGTAGTACCAGTCCCATGTGTCGTTCACATCCTAGGTAGTTCTTCATTGTTGTCCTGCAGTCCTGGGCGCAATGGCCAGGCTTGCCACATCGGTGTCATGTCATGTAGTTGTTGCTTCCTTTTCCTTTTGCTTTGCTATTGTTTCCTTGGCCTTTGTAGCTCTTGCCTGATCCATATCCTTTGGATCCTGAGTAGCCCTTTCCTTTGCTCTTGTTGTATCCTCCTTTGTTGTAGCTTCCTTTGTTGCCTTTGTCGAATCCCTTGTGGTGTCCTTTGCTCCTGTACTTACCTTTGCCTTTGCTTCAGTCGTGCACATGCATGCAACACAAGTGCAAGAAGTGAAGCATGTAGTTTGACGAGCGAGCGAGCGAGAGAGCGAGAGAGAGAGAGAGAGAGAGCGAGAGCGAGTGCGACAGAGAGCGAGAGAGCGAGAGAAAAAACAAAGAGACGATTGAATCTACGGCACGCCTGCACGGTAGCCGTCGGGCGCGGCTCAGAATGACACTGTAGACACTAATAATAAAATTGTTTGCGGAGGTGCCCTTTTGGTTTTGGGGAGCTTTTTGGCTTGAGGCGCCCTTTGACTTCGACCAAAAGACTTTGTAATTAGTTGGCACAGCCAGCCGGTAGTAAAGGAAACGTACTCCCGGAGCTATGGCTCGAAAGTCGCAACTTTGTAGTACAGACGCAGTAAAGGAAGCGTACCCCTGGAGTTCTGGCTTGAAAGTTGCAACTTTGTAGCACAGCCGTTGTAAAGGAAACGTACTCCCGAAGTTCTGGCTCGAAAGTCGCAACTTTGTAGCACAGCCGTCGTGAAGGAAACGTACTTTGTACAGCCGTAGTAAAGGAAACGTGCTCCCGGAGCTCTGGCTCGAAAGTCGCAACTGTGTAGTACAGCCGTAGTGAAGGAAGCGTACTCCCGGAGTTCTGGCTTGAAAGTTGCAACTTTGTAGCACAGCCGTTGTAAAGGAAACGTACTCCCGAAGTTCTGGCTCGAAAGTCGCAACTTTGTAGCACAGCCGTCGTGAAGGAAACGTACTTTGTACAGCCGTAGTAAAGGAAACGTGCTCCCGGAGCTCTGGCTCGAAAGTCGCAACTGTGTAGTACAGCCGTAGTGAAGGAAACGTACTCCCGGAGTTCTGGCTTGAAAGTTGCAACTTTGTAGCACAGCCGTTGTAAAGGAAACGTACTCCCGAAGTTCTGGCTCGAAAGTGGCAACTTTGTAGCACAGCCGTCGTAAAGGAAACTTTCTCCCGGAGCTCTGGCTCGAAAGTCGCAACTTTGTAGCACAGCCGTAGTGAAGGAGACGTACTCCCGAAGTTCTGGCTCGAAAGTGGCAACTTTGTAGCACAGCCGTCGTAAAGGAAACTTTCTCCCGGAGCTCTGGCTCGAAAGGCGCAAGGAAACGTACTCCCGGAGCTCTGGCTCGAAAGTCACAACTTTGTAGCACAGCCGTTGTAAAGGAAACGTGCTCCAGCAGCTCTGCCTCGAAAGTGGCAACTTTGTAGCACAGCCGTAGTGAAGGAAACGTACTCCCGGAGCTCTGGCTCGAAAGTCGCAACTTTGTAGCACAGCCGTCGTCAAGGAAACGTGCTCCAGCAGCTCTGCCTCGAAAGTGGCAACTTTGTAGCACAGCCGTAGTGAAGGAAACGTACTCCCGGAGCTCTGGCTCGAAAGTCGCAACTTTGTAGCACAGCCGTCGTCAAGGAAACGTGCTCCAGCAGCTCTGCCTCGAAAGTGGCAACTTTGTAGCACAGCCGTAGTGAAGGAAACGTACTCCCGGAGCTCTGGCTCGAAAGTCGCAACTTTGTAGCACAGCCGTTGTAAAGGAAACGTACTCCCGCAGCTCTGGCTCGAAAGTCGCAACTTTGTAGTACAGACGCAGTAAAGAAAACGTACTCCCTGGTCCCCCTAATGGGGCTGGATTTGAGTACGGGCAGGAAAATACCTACTTTAGAATTGGTTTAGTATTGGCTAGTCTTCCCGGATTTGGGACTTCTGAAACAGTGCTTTTGAGCATAGATTGTTTCTTTGTCAACTCGCTGTGACTTACCTTCATTCGTAGCAACAAGAAGGCCGGCGCTAACTACAGATAGACGCACAGGTAGACACATAGGTAGGTAGACAAAAAGGCAGATAGAGATAGACAGATAAAGAGGGACAGAAGCAGACAGAAAATGACAGAAACACAATCTGCGTAGATGGACAATACAGCATGCGGGTGGAAAACGCTGCAAGAGCGCACGCGCAGTTCACGAAGCAAAGCAGCCGAGAAGTTGCACGAAGAACGCCAAGGCAGAGAGCAGCGCGCAAGCAGAGCACGCAAGTCAGGTAGCGGGTTGCAAAAGTTGTCGCAAGGTTAGCAGCTCACGGAAGGCCCCAGAACCAGAACAACAGAAACAGAATTTGCCAGTGTTTCAGCGATGCGCACCTGGCGCATTGCCTAGCAGCGTTGCTCGGGTTGAAGGCGGCGTCAGATGTGCTGCGCACAAACGAATTTGCTACACTTTCCATTAACATGAAGGGGCCTGGCGTGCTGCACGCGGGGTGAGCCAGAAGGATCCCTAGCTTTGACATTTCAGCGCCGGAATTGCAGGCAGGTCTTGGAGGTAGGTTGAGGCGATTTTTCTTACGATTTAGCTGTGACGTTTGTCAGAACCTACTCAAAGACATCGTGCCCATGAAATCTCCTAAAGGGCTGGATTTGGTTCGCGGCCGCCAGGCAGAGGTCCCAAGACCCATGCTATTGGAGGGCCGGAAGATGATGGTTCGCGCCTACGTGTCTGGGGCGATCCCGTTTAGCCAGCCCAGCGTAATCCAGCGGGCTTCATATTAGGGATTTCCTGGTTTTGGGCGTGCATGTGTGCGCGCGTTTTGAAAAAATCCTTTTTGCTTTTTGAAAAGCCAGCACATAGAAATCAACAACTAGGGGTCTCGGTTTTTGGACGCAAGCCCCGTGAAAGGTCCAACCCCGCCTTCACAAAGTGATACGGAACCCAAAAATGGAATCTGTCCCCCGCAGTGAGGTTCCTTTGTGCATCGTGTTTATTTACACTGCTGACGCACGACCAGCCGCAATCCAGGCCAGCCAGCCCCTTTGAAAGCAAATCGCTTCAACAAACTGATCTGCGAGACGGGTTTCTTCCGACTCGGTTCTGCGCGCGCGCGCGCCGCTTTCGCGGCGCGCACACCGCTTTCGCGGGCATCGTTCAAGACTGGGGGCTGGCCGCAGCGCAGTGGGCCTCGCCAAAACCGTCTTTCGGCAGGAAACGCCTGGGTGTGCCGCGTGTTTGCCAACATTTTTCCTGGGCTTGCACTGCCCAGCGCGCGACCCTCAACACCTTGCAGCCTTCGTAGAAGACAGGCCCTGTCCCAGCTTCAGCGCAGCAAGCTCTGCCCGCTTTCTCCTGAGGGAAGCTCCGACCCCCCATCAAGCTTGTCACGATTGATCGCAGGCAAGTTTGTTTGCCAAGAACACCTGTTCTCCAAGCTAAGCTTGGGACGTAGCCAGCAAGGCCAGAACCATGGGTGGCCGCGAATTTGCGCGAGAAGAGGGATTGCTTTTAGCTTCAATCATGTGTCGGCTTGCAAATTGGGGTTTTTCACCAGACGCTTGGACATGCGCAGGCTGGCCTTGCATCGCGCTCAGGTCGTTACGTTGCCACAAGGCCGATGTTTTTTGAATCGTGAGCTTCTTCTCAAAGGCCTGGGGCGCCCAGGCCACACACGCTGACACGCACAGACATTCGCAGACACATAGAGACAGACACACAGAGCGGAGAGACATAGAGAGAGGAGAGACAGAGGGGAGAGAGACGCAGAGAGGAGAGACAGGAGAGAGACGGAGAGAGGAAAGGCGCGCAGAGACGAGGCGCACAGAGAGACGGCGCAGAGAGAAAATACGCCGGGAGAACGCACTGAAGACACGCAGACACACAGAACAGCTCGCACAAATATATACACACACACGCGCGCGCACACATGCACAGACAAATACAGATACACACACAAATGCACACACGCACGCACGCACGCACGCACGCACGCACGCACGCACGCACGCACCCACGCACCCACACCCACACCCACACAGACACACAGACACACAGACACACAGACACACAGACACACAGACACACAGACACACAGACACACAGACACACAGACACACAGACACACAGACACACAGACACACAGACACACAGACACACAGACACACAGACACACAGACACACAGACACACAGACACACAGACACACAGACACACAGACACACAGACACACAGACACACAGACACACAGACACACAGACACACAGACACACAGACACACAGACACACAGACACACAGACACACAGACACACAGACACACAGACACACAGACACACAGACACACAGACACACAGACACACAGACACACAGACACACAGACACACAGACACACAGACAGACAACACAGACACACAGACACACAGACACACAGACACACAGACACACAGACACACAGACACACAGACACACAGACACACAGACACACAGACACACAGACACACAGACACACAGACACACAGACACACAGACACACAGAACACAGACACACAGACACACAGACACACAGACACACAGACACACAGACACACAGACACACAGACACACAGACACACAGACACACAGACACACAGACACACAGACACACAGACACACAGACACACAGACACACAGACACACAGACACACAGAACACACAGACACACAGACACACAGACACACAGACACACAGACACACAGACACACAGACACACAGACACACAGACACACAGACACACAGACACACAGACACACAGACACAGACACACACACACAGACACACAGACACACAGACACACACACACACACACACACACACACACACACACACACACACACACACACACACACACACACACACACACACACACACACACACACACACACACACACACACACACACACCCCACACAACCACACCCGCCCACACACCAGCCCCCCCGCCCACCACGCCCACGCGCCCCACACGCCCCCACGCCCCCCACGGCCCCACGCCCCCACGCCCCCACGCCCCCACGCCCCCACGCCCACACGCGCCCACACGCCAGCCCCACCCCACGCCCCCACGCCCGCCGCCCACACGCCCACCGCGCCCACACGCCCACACGCCCAGCGCCCACGCGCCCACGCGCCCACGCGCCCACGCGCCCACGCACCACACACGCACCCACGCGCGCGCGCACTGCTGCGCAACGCGCGCGCTCGGGCGCACGCACGCACGCGCGCACGCGCACGCGCACGCGCACGCGCACGCACCCGCACCCGCACCCGCACCCGCACCCGCACCCACATCACACACCCACACCCACACCCACACCCACACACCCACACACACACAGACTTGTACGCACTCGTATGCACTTGTACGCACGCGCGAGCACACGCATTCGCGAAGGGAGAACCTTTTGTTGGCCCTGAGTGTCAAAACCCCGTGCTAGAGGAACCCGGGAAGAAGACCCGGAAAGGGCGTGTCTCAAAATAGGGCAGCAGCAAGATGGATTGTTTTCCTTGGCTGCCTTTACTGTTCACCTGTTCTTTTGTGGGTTGTTGCTGCAACAGAAGTTTCCTTTTTGTGTGCGTGCGAGGCCATCCCCAGCCATATGACTCCCAAGATCCGGATCCCTTGCGCCACGTGATTTCCTGTGTCAAGCACCTTGGCTGCTCGGGGCTAGCCGAGTTTCGCCGCGGGAACCGTCTTGCGAGGTATGACGGCGTCATATCTGCCCGCGGCACCCTGTGGCCGCATTATGACAAGGCAAGGGCCGTTTCCAAATGCCAGGCCTTACAGCCAGAGTTAGGGGATTTCTTGTGCTGAGTGTCTGGGACGGAAATGGAGGCCTTTGTGTCAAGGCAACGTGAAACCTGGAAGGCTTGCTTAAATGTCACCGGACCAAGCAAACTCATCCAAGATTTTGTTCAATCCCTGTCACTTGGCGCCGAAAGATTCGGACACCTGTTGATTCTTTTGAGCTTGTGCCTGGCTCAGGTGTGGCCAAAGGTCTCCAAGATGATGACTGCCGTTTTGGGGCCCGCGGCCGTTGGGCACCGCGCCTTGGCCGCAGTGAGTCACAGTCTGAGGCTGGTGGCGGTGCCCTGGTTCTTGCTGAACCTGAGGCAAGTATCCCTTCTCTTTGCGAGACGATAGCATGATGGACATTCTCTGCAACCACATTGCAGCTCAATGTCAGGACTGATCGCCAGGATGGGAAAGGTCCTCTTATTGGATCCCCTGTTTATCACCATTTGCCTTTTGTTTGGGACAGGGGCACAGTGAGATTTGCAGAAGTCTCGCAGACACGAAGCTGCTTTAAGCAACACCACCGAACTCTAAGTTTTTGACATTTGTTGTGTCCGCAGAGTGTGCAAATAGTCAATTTAAAACCCCAGAGCAAATTATTGTCCAATGTTAAGCTGCGCCGAAGGTGATTCTGGTCGAGCTTTCGGGCGTTGCTTCACCCATGATACCAGAAGAAGTGGCTGGAAGAGCTACAGTTACAGTGGACACGAGCGCGCCCATCTTTGGAGAGCAACACGCTTGGCGGGCCCTAGTTCTGTTTTGGACGCTTGTTGGTGTTTTAAAGGGAAACCAAAGCACCAAAGCACTCCTTGGGTCGCACACGAACCCAGTCGGCCAGGACCTGTGCTCCTGGTTGCGCTGGGGCTCGAAAGCTGGGGCGTTGCTGTACAATCTCATGGGAGTCCAGGTCTCAGGCGACTGAAACATGTCAACCATCACCGTCACACTAGTGGCCCTTGTTCGGAAACACTCGCTTGGACACTAGACCGGAGGCTCGCGTGTATATGTGTTAGGTACGCTGTCGCTGACACCCACGAACGCATGGTGTCATGCGTTGGCACGGGCATCCTTCACGCTGTAGAATTGCCCACCTTAACCGGTGCAAGGAGCCGGCCTGGCTGGGCACAAGCGGTGTAGCAAAAGATCTTCCAGATTGGCCAGGTACGACTAAAGCATAGGCGGCGCTTTTACCTGCACCGCGCAAGGTCTCTAAGTAGTGTGTGTGTGTGTTTGTGTTTTTGTGTTTGTGTGTGTGTGTGCGTGTGTGTGTGTTGCGTTGTTTGTTGGGCACCACCGCCGTCAGGAACCGGGTGGTTTCGTGCATTTCTCATTTTGTTGGGTACTCCCGGCTTCACACATGAGGCAAAGTTGCTCCACGACCGCTGCGTGCGTGCTGGCACCAACAATAATACACATGCCCACGCGCATCCATGACTGCTGCATGCTGCACGCATGCGGGCAGAAATGAGAATTTACAGGATGTTCCCACAACCCACGCTTGAAACTGAACAGCATGTTGTCACAGCCCACACTTGAAATTACACCAGCCTCGACCCCAAACAGCCAAAAACATGACAGGTCTGTATAACTAAAAAAGGCTTGTCTCCTTCATGTAAGGTGCGAAATTGAGTAGCTTCTGTGAGCAACACATAGTTACAATCAGTCCATGTATGTCCCTGTAGGAAGTCCCCTTTTTTGGGAAGAGGACACATCGGGTCCATCCATCTCCTTGACGCCGGGTAAAAGCATCGATGTTGCTCATCAACTTCGAGGGGGAAAACACAATGTCAATGCCATGTTCGGGAGTGAAGGCCCCGGAGATTCGGGGTGAATCAACCTAACACTTGGCATTAATCAAACGAAGTTTCGAAGGAACTTTCGTAGTACGGACACTCAATGCACTTTTCCATCACCGAAGCATTTGGTGGCCGTCTCGCTACTCTGCTGAAACTTGCGCATCAGTCTCAGCAGCTTTCGGCCGAGACTGGACTTCTGGTTGCCATCTTCTTCTCGAGCTCGGCTAAAGGCCGTTTGGCGCGCACCTCCGTCATCCGGCACAGCTCCAGAAATTCCTCAGTGTTTGAGCCGGCAGTAGCTTGGTTATGCAGGGCCTTCATCTCTGTCGTGTCCAGCGCGCCGCATGCTCCCAAGATGGCTAACGCATAACTTTACTCCGTACGCCCAACGCCGCTCCATTCCGGAACAAGCTTGGCTTTGAATGTCAGCTCCAGCCCTGCTCCATCGCGGAGACATGTGAGAACTTTGCCCCAACTTACCAATGCTGGCTGCACAGTTGACACCGCCAGCTTGGCCGCCGGCTCATCATGGAGTTGGTGCTTATGGTTCGCAGATTGGTGTTCACACGTGTGGTGAACAACCGGCGCCGTCATTCCAACGCACGCCGCTGGCAACGCTCAGCTCCAGCAGCACTGTAATCAACTGGCCGGGTTCGTGAACTGTTTCCAAGTTGTCAAGGTCAGCGAAGTAGGTGCCAGGAAGAGGCTCCTATGCATCAACCAAGTTTTTCGAGGAGAACTTGACAAGCGCAGGGACGATGCGAACAACTCTTACGAGTAATGGTTTGGCTGGGGACCCGACTCACCCAGGCTTTACTTCCAGGACAGTTCTTTCTGGAAACCGGTCAGGAAAAACCTTGATTGCGAGAGTGAAGTGGAATTGCTCGGATTTCCAAAAATACTCACTGCGGGAGGCTAGCGCAAGCGCCATGCAATACAGCTCACGTTGAACCCCTTTGGTGTTCCATGGGTCCAGAGACTGTAGGGAAGCTAGCGCCTCAGAGAACACTTGCAAGCCCGGCACTTTCAGACACGTGCAAAACAGCAGCGTCCATATTGCGGAATGTGTGGAAAACAAGGCTGAGAAATCTGTCTTCAACCCTTCTGTCAGGAGGCAACAAGATATGTCAAAGCTGCGACCTTGGCGTCACGAAGGTGTGAAATGCTTCAGCAAAATGCGTTTGTCAGTGGGACTGGATTACATAGGTTGCAACAAGGAAAAAGCAGGACCAGCTAGCGAAGCGAAAGACTGGATATGACTTTGGCCGGGCCACATGGCTATCCAACTCAAAGGTGCTAAATACTGGCAACAAGATAGGAGGCAAGGTTTACAACAGCACTGCCAACAAGAAAGGGTGCTCGAACTACAGTGATGCTACCAAGAGGAGACTAGAAAGAAAGGAATTTGGTAGGAGTATCAGGACATATAGGCCTGAAACTCCCGAAAAGAGGTGTCATCCGATTCCATGTCTAGAAGACGGGTGGCCCGAAGCAACAAGTTGTCTGAGCAAGCTCTCCGCAGCGCTTGCCGCAACACACTGCAACTTCCTAGTGCAACTCACTACTGCTACTTGCTAGCAAAAGTCCAAGCTAAATGTTTGTGTTTAGCCCCTAAACCCTCAATTGTCTGCCACTTCTCCACCTGCGCACCTGCATTCATGGCAAGTGCCAACAGGAAAACATGTCAAGAAACCGCTTCTTACACCTTGTCCCCGCCAGAAGTCCGACAGCGCTAAGTGTGTCTCTGCCGTCGAGTCAGATAAGCCCGCTTGGCTGGGCTCTGATGCGCCACAAGGATGCAAACCAGTCAGTTATGGCCACTTGGCTGGGCTCTGCTCCACGGATGCAAGCCAGTCAGATATGGCCACTTGGCTGGGCTCTGCTGATGCAGTCAGTTATGGCCACTTGGCTGGGCTCTGCTGATGCGCCACAAGGATGCAAACCAGTCAGTTACGCACTTGGCTGGGCTCTGCTGATGCGCCACAGGGATGCGCTGGCTTCCAAAAAGCAGCTCACAATCTTGAGCAAAGCAATCAGGCGGATGTCACGGTATATTTGTTTATCGAGAACAAAATGGACACATTTAAGGCTCGACAGAGCTCAGCTGATGCGCCACAAGGATGCAAACTTGCACTTGGCCAAGAAGTGCGGCACTGGCTTCCACAAAGCAGCTCGGTATCAGCCGTATTTGTCTATCAAAACCAAAGTCTAAATACTTAAGGCTCGCCAGGGCTCTGCTGATGCGCCACAAGGATGCAAAGCACTTGGCCAAGAAGTGCGGCGCTGGCTTCCAAAAAAGCAGCTCAGTTTCCTGAGCAAAGCAATCAGCCGGAGGCACGACGAGATGTTTATCGAGAAAAAACAAATTTAAGGCTCTTCACACAGGCTAACAGCAAAATCTGCGACACGCCCTTTCCCTGTTGCGAAACATTGTTGCAAGGGGTTCCTGCTGATTTGTCGAATCTATGTTTCTAGCTTGATGCTTCTCAATTGCGCTTTCGAGCTGCTGCCACGTGAGCCGAAGAAAGCAAGCGCATCGACCGCAGAGACTGGGAGACAAGCGGGAGACACGACCCGGAGCCAGCGACTGGGAGACACAGGGAGACGAGCGGGAGACCACCCGGAGCCAGCGTCGCAGCATCTCAAACACTGGGAGACAAGCGGGAGACACAACCCCGGAGTCTGCCATTTGACCGCAGAGACTGGGAGGAGCCGGCGTCACAGCGTCTGGCATCCGGGAGACACAGAAAGACAAGCGTCACAGCATCTGGCATCTGCCCGCAGAGACTGCGAATCACAGCATCTATCTGGCATCTGCGGAGACTGGACAGGGAGACAAGCGGGAGACACGACGTCATAGCATCGACGTGACCCATGGGAGACACAGGGATACAAGCGGGGAAACGACCCTGGAGCCAGCGTCGCAGCACCTGGCATCTGACAGGAAAGACTGGGAGACAGGAAGACAAGCGGAAAACAGGACCCCTGGCGTCACACTTTTCCATTCTCTATACCTCAAGTTAGAACCCCTTAAATAGGATGCTGTCACAACATACAATTGAACCTTGACTGATTGAGGTTGACCTCTTCAGCTGCCGCGACACAAGCTTATCGAGAACGAATTTGTTTGTTAAAGTTATTTTTGAGGAGTTGTTTGCTACCACCTGCTGAATTCGTTGGCCAGCGCAATGGACTGTAAAAAGCAGGAGGCTTGTTTCGTGCCAGGCGACTCGCGGCGGTGCGACCTGTTTGTTATTTGTGTCTGTGTGTTGCTGCTTCTGCTTGTGTATGTGTGTGTGAGTGTGTGTGAGTGGGTGTGGGTGTGCGTGTGCACGTGTGCGTGTGCGTGCGCGTGCGCATGCGCGTGCGCGTGCGCGTGCGATTGCCCGTGCGCGTGCGAGCGCGCGTGCGCGTGCGCGTGCGTGTGGGCGTGGGCGTGGGCGCGGGCGTGCGCGTGCGCGTGTTGTGCCTGTGCGTGTGCGGGTGCGCGTGCGTGCGCGTGTGCGCGTGCGCGTGCGCGTGCGCGGCCGAGGGCCGCGGGCCGCGGGCCGCGGGCCGCGTGTGTGCGTGTGCGCGCGTGTGCGTGTGTGCGTGTGTGCGTGTGTGCGTGTGTGCGTGTGTGTGCGTGTTTGTGCGTGTGTGGGTGTGTGGGTGGGTGTGTGTGTGTGCGCGCGTGCGCGTGTGCGCGTGCGTGCGCGTGCGCGTGCGCGTGCGCGTACGCGTGCGCGTAGCGTGTGCGTGTGCGTGTGCGTGTGAATGCGCGTGTGCGTGTGCGTGTTCGTGTGCGTGTGCGTGTGCGTATCGTGTGCGTGTGCATATGTGCGTGTGCGTGTGCGTGTGGGCGTGCGCGTGCACGTGCGCGCGGGAGCGCGGGCGGCGTGCGGGGCGGGCGGCCGGGCGGGCGGGCGTGGCGGGCGGCGGGCGGGCGGTGCGGGCGAGGAGGGCTGCGGGGCGGGGGCGGAGGGCCCTGAGGCGGGTGCCGGCGCGGGGGCCGCAGCGGGGGGGGGCCCGGCGCGGGGGGCGCGGGCGGCGGGGGGGGCGCGCCGCGCCAGCGCGGGCCTGGGCGCGCGCGGGCGCGGGCGCGGGCGGGCGCGGGTGGGCGCGGGC